AGGTTCGATATAATAAAATTGTAATAATTATAATGGGTTAAATTTTATGTACGGGAACAACTACTTCTCTTCATACAAAATAATGGATAATTTCGGTACCCCATATGAGGCCTCATAACTAAGGGTTATTCTATGTTTAGAACATGATGGAATTTCCATGATTTGTGTGACGAGCCGAATATTGATGTGTAACATTCAAATTTTGGTGAGTGAGCGTAATAAAAAATAATGTTTAAGTAACTACGATTTTTGTACGGGAACTGCTCGCATGCCAGTATATTAAGATTTTTTGATATATATGATCAGTACATGTCCTGGGATTGACAAATATGCATTTTATTTGGATTTTAAAGGCGTTTTGAGCTCCAAACCCCAAGCGTCTGTGGTTTATTGTTGATGTATCCGACTTGTAAATAAAATTTACTTGACTTGACTTGACCGTAGTAACCTCCTCTGAAATTACCAAAAATGGCAGACATTAAAAATATTTAAAAAAAAATGTCATTTTTATTGGTTCTTTTGAAATAATTTTTTGACAAACAGTTCTGGAAAAGGTTCAATTATAAGATGGAAGAAAAATTTCATTCATTTATGATATTTATATTTAAATATTTTCCCGATAAACGTTTAGTACCGTGATATCATAGAACCCCGGGCTACACAAAAAGGCAGATGCTTTATCAGATCCATATTATTTCGACGCTTTAAAAGTGTCTAAATCCTGATGATACGGTATTGTTCCGTGTTGCCAATTCGTCTAGATTAGCATTATGTTGTCTTAACCTTCTCCCTTTTTGTCGCCTTATCTTACAAATAATTCATCAAATGAAAGTAATTATGTTCTTGAAATATTTGAAATATTATGTAGGTCTGTTGATTAAGAAGGCCCGGCACACCGGGGTGGGGGGGGGGAGGGTTAAGCAGCTGAAATCCCCCCCACCCCGACACCCTGGCCTAAAAAAAAAGTATATCAAAGATGGCATATTGAAAGACGCTGGTTTATGCTATACCTTATCAGGGCTGCAAGCAGGACAATTTAAATGTATATGCCTGTCTGGAAGATTCCGTTAAATCATAGTTTTTCCCTAGAATCAGTAAATATTAGGTTGATTTTCTTCGACTTGTGCAAGAATAAAATGTAATTTCAACACAAATTTTATAAAGTCTGAAATTTTGTGAAAAATATGAAGACACTTCCATTTCAAAATGTGCACCTAAATTGCACCAGATGCAACCATTTAACATGTAGATTTCATTTTTTTCCAGCGGGAGGATCCCCAGACCCCTCTCTAAGGGGGTAGTTTGGACTTTCAAAATTAGCCCGCCCCTAGCCAAAAAATTCTGGATCTGGCCCTTTCAAGGGACGATAAGAGACGATAAATCATAACTGGGTCTTTCAAATAGAATTTCATTTTAGAGACCTTGTATTTCATGCAAATATAATTATAAATTTTCCTCGGTGGATGTAAGTTCATGATAAAATTCAATTAAATGCACCCGTCACAAAAGATATTATCAGAGTAGAGACTATGTAGAGGGGCCGGATAGCCCAATCTGTAACGGTATATTCGGACGATTTGGGAATAGAGTTTTGGTCAGACTGAACTTTGTTTTTCTTACCCTGTGAAATTTGTCAACTGTGACTGTATAATACAAAACTCCGGGTCAATTGACAATGTCCTCTGTCAAAAGCAAAAGATGAAAGTCAAGATATAAATAGTGTATTTAATTAGAATTCAAAGCAGCATTCAGTAAGTTTCCCTACCAACGATTTCTAAGTAAAGTTTATATCAAGCTCTCATGCAGACCACATAAAAACATATTCTGTCTTAAATGAACAACATTTTCTATGCATGTGAATAGATAAATAAATGGCAAAATTGTTTCATACAAAATGCAAAACTACATGTTTGCACATTGTACAATTATTTAGTGCATCCTCTGACTTTTGCATGAAAGACTTGATTATTAATAAGATCTGTAAAATCCGAAGGGTTAATGAGTGATGTTTGACCAGAAAATAAATTGAAAATGTTGCAAACACAGAATGGCATATCATTAAGGCTAACAGAAACCTAGAACGAATAGCTACACATTTACCTTAATATATGAACAAAGAAATGCTTTACTATTCTACAAACCACATCTAGAATTCAATTCTATAATATAGGCACCTGAAATATAAGCACCTTAATTTTAAAAAATGCAACTGCAACGCGCAAAATAAATTATTTTCATAGCAAATTGAAAACGACTATAAAAAAGGGCAAACGACCTAGGAAACGGCGCTTAAACATATTTATCTGTTGTTCTTTCATAAAGAGAAAAAACTTGCAACCTTTTTTTTTTATTAATTTTGTATCCAATTAGCTGAGCTTACATCAATGTAGACTCACATCTTCCATATGAAGCGCATAAAAGCAATCTTTGTATGTTAAATGAAGTCGGTGATGAATTTCACTATATGTTAGTGTGTCCTTGTTTCTGTCTTCAAAGAAAGCGAAGCGATACATCCCAACTTACTTTTTAAGTAGACCAAACGTGTTGAAATTTAAGGAATTATTATCAACAGAAAATTTTGATCTTCTTAAAAATATTGTATTTTTAGCATGTTCTATTACTGAACGTTTTAAGACTAATAGCTAGAACAAGACAGGCCTAACGATTTTCTAAGTTAAATCCAAATGAATTCAAGTTCTACCTAATTTTCATATATTGCTCCCTGACTATCTTAGTAACGAACGATTTAATATTTATAGCCTTTCTTAGCGGTTGTAAATATTTGCAATATTGTAGTATTGTCTATGTACGTGAAAAGCGTGCACCTGTAGTGACGTATTCGTATTTTCTCACGCCACCTGATATTCATTTGCATGAGTTTACATTAGTATGTATGATAATTTGATAAGTAACTATACAATTGATAGAAGAAATAATAACAAATTGTGTTAAGTTTTTTTTAAATATCGTAATGCTCTACTACTCTCTTTTGTTACACCTTTTCTAGAAGTAAACATATATAGTTTATTACATACATGTATGTACATGTACTTACTATTTATCAGTTAATCATAAATGTATATTTCGAAATGCAGCAGTTTTGACAATATAATTACTGTCCCCATGTGATGAAAATAACGTTTAAAGTAGAATTTGTAACCCACTCTTTATTTTATGTTAATCAGTCATATTGTTACTATTGTGACGTGGCTTCTAATAATTTTAGTGATTGTTGTTGTTGTTGTTGTTGTTGTTGTGTATATATGCACCAATTAACTTCTTTGTAGTGTTGGCTTATAATTTTAAACTTAAAGCCGTGTTCTAAAATCCTCCGCTTAAAAATTCACTACCATTGTCTCACTAGATTGCACTAGTTTTCTTCACGCCAGTATGTCTGACGTGCTCAAAATATGGAATAAGCAATAACGGAAAAACACAAATTAGATAAAATACATAACTAAGTTTCGCTTACAACTGATTCATACCATAATCTTTGGGTCAACAAGACTTGCGAGAAATTATGAATTTTGGCTGTCCATTTTATCTGTCCGTCTGCAAAATTATCAAAGGCAATATTTATACCCGGTATAATTTTGCTTTATTTTGTAAAGTATACTGTTTTAGGAGATGTCCGCAATAGTATATTATTTTGAAACATACAACAATAACTGCTCCATTCTACACCTTGATGGTTAAGTACTTTTACTACTGTTAGATTTGAAAATTTATAATGTACATCATCATCTTGAAAAAAAGTACTAAACAGAAGGACCAAAGACTCATTTAAAGTATGAACCATGAAAAGAATTAGAAGGTGCACATGTACGTGATATTTATTTTTCAAGACGAGTAAAGTAAGTTCACAAAAAGTTTGCATCGAGGTGGGGCATGTTCAATTGAGAACATTGACCTTGAAGAAGTTTCAAACCACAAATCTAGTTACGATAATAATTATGTTATTATATTTTCCAACCCACTAGGAAGTAAATACAAACAGAAGTCAAGTATATATGACCTGAAGGAGCCTAACATATCCTGCACTTTACACAACAATATTTTCCTATCATGCACTTTTCACGATATCTCTTCCTTTTCACTGACTGGTGACCTTGAATTACAATATACATTGTAATCATAATTAGTGTATCAATTTCTCGAAAAAAGGCGTTGGCGTTGATATTTCTCAAGATGAGATGACTTTTACGGTTATTTTGTAGGGACAACCTTTAATTTATTAGTTCAACATAAAATATGTGACCTGAACAAATGATCTCTTAGTAATTCTTTTAGACTAAAACTATAACACAAATTAAAAATGAAAATGACGCAACAAAAACATTTTTAACAACAATACTGTAACCCAACATACATAATATGAAATAAAATCTTATGACATATCGGTTAACCCGTTAAGCCTGCTGGAAGACAACAGATTCTATCAATGCGATCAGTGCAGAACAAGAGCGTGGTCTATTCTGCTCGCTATTCAATAAGTGTATATTTTGAAATTCTCACTGCCCATGTCTAGATTGAAAGATAGGTAATTCCATTTACAATTTACATATTTAAACATAGTAATACAGGTGTATTTAAAGAAATCTTGACTCATTACCTGGAAAACAAATCACAAACACAGTTTTGCAAAGGGCAAGGCAATTTTGAATATGTTGGGATGGTTCAATGACTGTAAGAGATTGCTTGAAATCTTTAATGACGGTATTGTGGAATCTAGTTATTTTTAGATGTTGTTTTTGTAGAAGTGGCAAGGGAAGGGGAAGGTATTTTTTAGATAAACATAAAACATAAGATCACTCTTTGATTATTTTAGCATTATTAAGAATCATTTGTATTTAATCATTATCTTTTCATGGCAAGTACGTTTACGTTGCACAGTTTTGACACTGCAATCGACACTTTCACTGATATTTGGCAACTATTCTTTGAGAGTTGCTTTAAAAGAAAATACACTTCTGTCTATGAAAAATTCCTTTTTTATTTAAATATAAAGTAAGTTGCAAGTAATATATAGTTTTTAACTAACAATTTGACATAAATATCTACGACATTGTGATAATACTTCTTATTTTATGTTAGATATTAAACTTTCATCACCATCTATGACTCTTTGTCGACATATTCATTTAAAGTTTGGATGATAATCATATAGATATCGACGGGCCGAACTGTACCAATGTAACCACACTACTAGGTTAACATATAGAACGCATCTTTTGTTCACATTAAATTAAGTCATACTTTATTTCCTGCTATTATTAACTCATTCATGGAAAGACCTACATTTTATTCTCGACCTCAATTCCATTTATGGAAGTGTTGTTTAAAATGCTATTTATAGCTAAGTAAATACTATTTCATTCACCGAATAAGATGTTTGATGATTAAATGACGATGTAAAGTAGTTATTGTAACGTTATAAGTGTTTTGTACAAGTATTTGTTTTATTAAAAGCATATTCATAGGTTGCCTGTCTGAGTCTTTCAATGGATTCTAAAGACGAACACACTTTTGAAGACTTTATTTCTGGATTAAATAATAAAATATCCAAAAATGAAATGGATATATTGAAACAATTTACGAAAGGTAACCATTTCAGTTTAATTGTATAATTATTGTATAGAATGCATCGTTTATTTATTATCTTTATCATACAATTCAATCTGAAACTTAATGTTGTGAAAATGATAATAATTGTATGCATACATGATTTTTTTATATTTGGTTAGTTTATACTGACAAGTTATCAGACATAATACTGCATATATGTATATATGTATATGTTCTGTTAACTCCTTGGTATTTTCACAGATTTTACAATGAATTGTGATCTGATTATTACAAAGAGTGAAAATTAAGAATAAATAGATGAATATTAGGGACTTATTTATCTGTCTATAAATCAATAGTTTTTATCTTTGAAAGACCACTACCTGATGGACGTGCAATGTATTGAAACGTTTCAACAACTTTTGAAAGAACTAATAGGGAAGATAAACCTATCTCGTATGGAAATTCTTCAGGAAATGTTGTCTGTCCTCAAAAGAAAGGACCTAATAAACATTGCATTAGAATACAGAAAAACGGTGACTTCAGACTCAAAGGACATGTATGCAGGTATATTTTATTCTGTCTGTTAATTGTCAAAAATGTTATTCCATCATGTACATGCATCTTTTGCAGCAAATTATTTAATTATTTATTTGAATATTTTTCATTTACATAGATATAAAACATTATAGAATCAAATATATTATTATGTATCATTATTGTATTTTCTAGGAAGTGATAACGAGCAAATAACTTTAAGAATAGAGCACTTGTCATATTCTAAGGGCCACGTGCGAGAATTAGTGCAAAAACTATCAGACCTCTTGTTTGCACCGATTAACAAAATAACCATCAATCGGGTAGAAGAAATGAACTCTGGTGGGTACATTTGTGTCCTTGAGTTACCGAGTACACATGCAGAACTATTGCAAGAACTTTATGAAAGCGATGACAAAGAAACAGGTTTAAATTGTTTTGGAATAACGGATATTTACATACGAAGTGTGGCATATAAAATCAAAGGTATTAATATATTAATATTTGTCATCTAACTGACTTAAAGGCTATATACAATTATATCATTTATCGCTCATTTATAACATATTCCAAAAATGCTGATATGAACTCCTCAGCTGAGTAGACTGCAAATGTTATTTTATAGTCTTGGTAAAAACTTTGTATTGGCTATAAGTAGGACAATTTTATTGCTATCTTTATTGATTGTAAGAATTTGACCTTACTTATTTTGCTGAAATGAAAGATAAAAAGTTTTACTGTACTTCACACTTACAATGACCGTATAATCAGTTTATGTATTTACTTTACAATAAGCTGTATAAACTGATGGTATCTGATAATTGATACATGTACTACTAAAAGATACATTATAATTTGATCCATTGAATGTCATCAATACTTAAGATGTAGTGATAGATAATTATAGACCTTTTTACGACGAGGTCCGTTGCTATGAAAAAAATGACCGGAAGTAGTATTTTTTCGCGCATGCACAATTTGCGTAGGGCAAAAAGAGCCATGCCCTACATAGAAATGATGTAGAAATTCATAGACCATTCCGAGTTTGTTTAAGGTAAAAATTAGAAAATTATATAAAATAGTTTTTAACAGAAACAGAAAAGAATTGCCTTCATAGCTTTTTGGTCAGGATTGCTCAAAAAAGACATGGAAAAGACGATTGTTTAAGACCCCCCCTTACGATCACCACTGACCTGACATTGAGATTATTGTTGTAAAAATATATGGATATATATATATATATATATATATATATATATATATATAATATATATATATATATATATATATATATATATATATATATATATATATATATATATATATATATATATAGCAATTAAAGAAGTCAATTTAATTGTTGTTGAAAACGTCCATATTAAAAACAAGAGCAGTAGTATAAGGTATAAGAGAAGTACTCCGGACAAACTTTAAAAATAAAAATTATTAAAGGGCCATAACTCTGACAAAAATCACTGAACCGGAAAATGCTGACAATATGCACAACTAGACTTGGTACTGATCATTCCTGGAAAGTTTGGATGAAATTGCACCAGTAGTTTATGAGAAGTAGTCCGGACAAGTTTTTTGACGGACAGACGGACAGACAGAGACAGACAGACAGACGGACAGACAGACGACGGAGAAGTGATCCCTATATGTCGCCACTACTCCGTAGAGGCGACACAAAAATTATTACATATAAAACGTAACATTTTTATATAAATTTTAAAATCGAGGTTAAATATCATTCTGAAAAAAAAGTAGTAACACGTGATATAATGCATTTTTAGTTTTCAGTTTAGCTAATTTTATCCTTTATCCGACTTGACTGAGATGCCAAACATAAATTTTTTAAGTCAAATAATATATTTAAATAATTTTTCAAACTCTTGTGAAGTTAGGGTGGGTGGCGGAATAACACACATTTTGTCCGGTTCCTTGTAACACATGGAAATGCACGTCACGTACACTATTTGTCACTTCAATAAACATTGATGATATTGGTATAAAAATAAAAATTACTTAAATTACGATGAATCATTTTCATAATTTTAAGTAATTAACTATGTCATGGTACTAAAACGACCCGGTTGAATGATATTGTTAAGAAGCTGGCAAATAACAACCGGATACGTGTCAATTTGTTTGACACTTACCGCCTTGCAAATCCACTTTCAAAGGAAAACCAATTGTGTAATATTATGTAATACATGGGTTTTTAGTTTGTGATCTTTAACACCCTGCTGTTTTAATTTAAATTACTGATGAAATAGTCACCTAATGATACCTTGAACAGAGGACTTTTGGTCGTTGAATTATAAGTCCCGCTAATTATGTATATCTGTTATAAATATCAATTCACGTTTTAAGTACTTACCGCTTTAATTTAATTCATCCCAAATTTTCTTTTTTCTGTGTGACATAACTAGAAATCACGCCGTTTTTAAGACTTTAAGTGCGCTAAATGTATGCTATCGTACGTTATTGCGCTTTTGCCCTACGCAGAATGCGCATGCGCGAAATGCAACATACGTTGCTATGGAAAAATAGTACAGTAAAAAGGTCTATACACTCAGTAAATTTTCTTGTTGGTCACTATGTGACATATCTTAATGTTAGGATGATAACAAAGATACATTTCGCACATACTGTTGTTACTGTTGAATTTATGTACACAACTAGTCATTGGCATAATGTCTCATGCTTAAATTCCATTAATGAAACAGATAGTTTTCGTTAAATTCACATTACTTACACTCGGTCGTCGTGACTAAAGTAATAATTCATAGCCATTACTTCACGTGGCCAACCGTGACTTTCCTCGGGAAGTTCACTGAGCGTTTATTATTCTTGGATTTTAAATCTTTTATCAGTATATATGAAATGGTTTTATTTTTTTTTTAAAAAAGAACGTACAAAGTAAATATAGAATAAAGATATCTTATATCTTCATCTTAAAGAATTCATATCAATTGTTCCTCCAGGGAGCTTTATCATTTCATATCTTATCTATTTTTAATACTAGATTTTATATTAACTACTATCTATCTATATATTACTCATGTATGAACAAGGTATACTAGTAAACGAATATAAATTAAATTTTCGCCGTGGAAATAACGAAACATATTAATTTTATTTCAATGCAAACTTTGTTAGATAAAAAGATCATATGACATTTGGAATACATTATATATACATAGCAATGTTTGTTTTCTGCAATAGAATTCAAAATGCGTGTGCTTTATTTAAATTCACCTTACTTATTTTGATACATTAGGTAAAATGGTTCCAGTGGAAATGCTGCATCAACATCAACACGTTATTGCTATTTTAAAAGAGCAGAATGATGAATTTATGCAGCGTCTAGATAAGCTTAGTGCAAGCCTCGACTCTCTCCTACCACTTGTAACTGAACTTGGAGATCCTAAAACACACATGAAAAATCTTTCAAATTTGCACAAACATTCCGGCATGTCGACAACAATTTGGAAAATTCTTGGTAAATTAACAGACGACCAACTTCCTGAAAGGTATAGACCAGACTTTAGCCAGGAAGAAATACGACAAAAATGTCTATACTCAAAAGCAAGATTACAACGAGTATTTCCACATCTGTCTATGCCATTACAAAAGAAACCAGAAAATTATAAAGGAAGTCAATACTAATACTGTGTTAGTCATTGTAGGAAGAAAATAGTGTGTTAAGTGAGTTACTATAAGTAGAAAGACATCTATATCTTTATGATATATACCAACATTTTTCTAAGCAATCACAAGACTTGTACATTTGCCATTTCCGTTCCGGTTAATTTTAGTTATGACAATTAATAGTTTAAAACACTTTTCCAAAAGACAATATTTATACATTTTATTATCTGTCAAAATTTTCCAGCCGCAAAATTTATAAATATATATAATTTTAGAAAAACTCGGGGATAGAACTATCAAAAGTAGTCTTCAGCTTTTTTTTTATTAAATCTACTCTTAAATGATTTTTGCTTTTATTGCGTTTAGTTTCCATCTAATAAAAATATTTTCGATTTTAAATGAATTATAAGCATACCATATTTTGTTTTGATATAATGCAAGATGTGTCTAATCAATGAGTTTCTCAAAAAACTTTATGCTTTCTACTCCTTTATGTCTGAAATTGTATTTAAATTGTGTATATATGTACCATAGAAAAAACCAAGACATTGTTTAACAAATACCCTTTAAAATTACCTGATATCTGAACATACAATCAACTTAATGATACATATAAACAGGTATTGGAACTTGATAAATCCAGTGTAGATATTAGATATATGTGATTTTCAATATAAACTATCTGGTGGCGTTGGTGTTGATAGTTTACCCCTCACCCGTCCCAGATCACGGCAGTTTGCCACTTTGAATTCACTGGATAAACCTCCTATATCCGATTTATCCTACTTGATTCTCATGTTATCATGCTTTTACCTTGACGGTACATTAATTGTATGCATTGTCTAAATGAACCAAAAGCATGTTTAGTATTTAACTGTAGATGTTGTGTTTGAATAAGTTTCATTATTAAAAAGGCTGATACTAAATTAATATATAAAGCAAATTAAAGCAAGACCCCCCACCCCCCCCAAAAAAAAAAAGAAAAAAAAAAAAGAGGTCATGTGCTAAATTTTTCTATATACATCTGTAAATAATAAAGAAAGGTGAAAAGTATATTCGTTTCTTTTATTACAATGTACATTGAAAGTCCGTAAAGATCTGGATTATGTATTGGAAATTTGCTGCATTTTATAAAGCATGTATCTTCAAAGTTTCCAAAGGTCCTGCCTAGTTGACATGTATTATTAAATGTAATATCTATGAATTAACTGAGCGGGGATTTCGAAAGATGTAAAAACACCTTATATTATTGGGATATTGTATGAAATAAGGTGAAAAGTAAATTTCACAGTGGTTTAATGTAGCTTTATGCACATAGAAGATTTTGCAAAGAATTAATTTCTTATTTGATGGGTGCATTATGTACTTCATATAATAATTGATATTGAAATCAGATTAAACAGAATTTTATGTTAAATTTCTTCAGGAACATGTTTTCTTTCCATCAGATGTAACAAACTTTTATATTGTATTTACATTTTAAGATACATTATATGATATTGTTCATATAAAATGACTTGATAAACCAAATCAAATGGTGTGCAAGCAATAATAAGAATATCCACAATTATAAGACCATCCCACAATTAAGACCACTTTGATCCTTTGGTCCCTGTGGTGGTCTTAATTGAGGGTTTTTACTGTATACTTTGTCCTTGGTCAATATTAGTTCCTTATAAAATTCGATGAAGAAAGATAATCCAATGCACGCTAAATAGCTCAGTCTTTACAGCCGCGGTACTGTATTCCGACGATTTCGGATTTGAGTTCTTGTCAGACTGAACTTTGTTTTTCTTACCCTGTGAAATGTATTGACTGTGACTATAATACACAAACTCCTTGTCAATTGACATTTCCCGCTTTATAGAAGACTGGTCAAAAGATGAAGGTCAAGATATAAATAGTGTACCTAGAACTCAAAGCAAAACATGAAATAAGTTTCCCGTTTAAACGACTTCTAAGTAAGGTTTATAGCTACGCTCTTTGCAGATGATTCAAATCATATTCTGTCTTAAATGGACAACCTTTTCTATGCATGTGATTGGATTAATAAATGGCAAAAACTTAATTTTTTATACAAAATACAAAACTATGCACATTGGTCAAAGTGCATCCTCTGACTTTTACATGAAATACTTAATTATTAACAAGATCTGTAAAATCCAACGGGTAAATAGGTGGCCTTAAAGTGGTTTTCGACTAGAAAATAAAATTGTATAGGTATATGAGTCACGTGCAAAACATTTATCATGAATGTTGATGCACCAACTTGCCAGAGTAAATGGAAAATTAGCTTTCAAATCTGATTTGGATAAAGAACATAACTAGGTTTCACTAATAACTGTTTCATATCATAACCTTGCGGTCATCAAGACGTGCCATAAACATCAAGAATTACAAAACATTATGAATTATGAACGTCCGTTTTATGCGCCCTTCGTTTATTTGTCCGTCTGCAAAATCATCAGTGTTAATTTAATATTTTACCGGTTTTGCTTTATTTTGTAAAGTGTACTTTTTTAGAAGTCTGCACTAAAGTATAATTTTGATACATATCTTTAAGTTCTGCTCCATTCTTCACCATGATGGCTAAGTCTTTTAACTACTGTCTCTAAAAATGTTTCCATCAATAATAATTAAAAAAAATAAAAAACAGACGGACCAAAGAATCGTTGAAAAAGATGAAGCATGAAAAAAGAATCAGAAAGTGTACAGGTATTTTTTTCAAGTTTAAACGTTTACATTGAGGAGATGGTGACAATATTCAATTATCATAATGTGTTATCATATCCTCAACCCACTAGGATGTTAATATAAAGAGAAGTCAAGTATATATTACCTGAAGTAGCCTAACAACATACCCTGAACTTCATACAACAATATTTGCCTATCATGCACTTTTCACTTCACGATATCCCTTCCTTTTAACCGACTGGTGATTTTGAATGATTATCTACATGTATAATCACAGTTACAGTAGCATTATATGGCGTTGGCAGAGATATTTCTAAATAAAGATGAATTTGATGATAATTTTTAGGGTAAACCTAAATTCATTATTTCAACATAGAATATGTGACATCAACATATGATTTCTTAGTAATTCTGTAGTTTGAAATACGTATACAAAAACGATAGCCAACAATAAAAACTCAATAAAATTATTAAAAACATGAACATTTTTAACAATATTACTACAACATAGCATAATTAATTATATCTAAAATGAAAAAGAACAAACAAAAGAACAACAACCTCGAGCCTTTATGACATATTAAGTAAGTGTATATTTTGAAATTCTCACTAGAAATGATGAAAGGTTTTGTCCAGGTTGAAAGATGGATTAATCCATTTGCATATTTAAACATGGTTATACAGGTGTATTAAAAATAACTTGAGTCATTACCTTAAAAACAAATAGCTTTGCAAAAGGCAAAGTATACGATTTAGTTTTGTACATATTGGGCTTGTTCATTTATCCTAGGTAACGGGAAGAGATCGCTTAAGGTCCTTAATGACGGTATTGTATAGATTTATAGAATTTAGCTGTTGGAGTGGTCAGGGAAGGGAAAGGGGGAGTTTTTTCTTTCGATAAACATAAACATAAGATTTCTCTTTGATTGTTTTAGCATTACTTAGAATCATTTGTACTTAATCATTATCCTTATGGCAAGTGCGTTTCTGTTGCACAGTTTTGACACTGCAATCGACACTTTCACTGATTTTTTGGCAACTTGTCTTTGCGAATTGCTTTAAAATAAAATACATTTCCATGCATGAAAATTCTTTTTATTATTGAAAACAATTACGTACGTAAGTTGCAAGTAATATATTCTTTAACTAACTAACAGTTTGACATAAATATCTACGACATTCTGATATTTTTTTTTTTTGCTATTTAACCATCTATAACTCATATGTCAACATATTCATTAAAAGTTTTGATAATTTCATAAATATTGCAGGGCCGAACTGATACAATCTACCAATGTTACACTACGTATAGTTATAAGGTTAAGATGTAGAATGAATATTGTTCACATATAACTTTATCATACACACCTATTTCTTTATCTAATGTTATCAATAATTCATTCATGGAAAGATCGACCTTATTAATTTCCATTTATGGAAGTGTTGTTTAAAATGCTATTAATAGCTCAGTATATACTACTTTATTCATCGATTAAGATCTTTGATAATTAAATGACGATGTTAAGTAGTTATTGAAGGTCGTGATAGTAACGTTATAATTGTGTTTGAATTACTATTTGTTTCATTATAAAGCATAGGTTGCCTTTTCTAGTCTGTAAATGGATACTTAAGACGAATTAAATGAAAAGATATCCAAAAACGAAATGGATATGTTGAAGCAATTCACGGAAGGTAACTATTTTGATTTAATTGCATAATAATTTTATGGAAGGCAACGTTTATTTATTGCCATTTTTTTATTATCATACAATTCAATTTTAAACTCGATGTTGTAAAAATGATAATAATTGTATGCATACATGATTAACATTTTACATTTAGTTAGCATATACTCAGATGCTATCAGATACAGTATAATACATACTATGCATGTATATACATACATGTATATGTGTGCATACATGTATATGTTCATTAAACTCCTCGGTATTTTCATAGTTTTTACAATGAATTGTGAGCTGATTATTACTAAAAATTCTGGAAAGAGTGAAAATTAAGAATAAATAGATGACTATTAGGGTCTTATTTATCTTTCTATAACTCAATAGTTTTTATCTTTCAAAGATCATTACATGATGGACGTGCAATGTATTGAAACGTTTCAACAACTTTTGAAAGAACTAATAGGAAAGGTAAACCAATCTCGTATGGAAATTCTCCAGGATACGTTGTCTGTCCTTAAAAGAAAGGACTAGGAAAAGTTGCATTATAATACAGAAACACGGTGACTTTAAACTCAAAGTATATGTATGCAGGTAATTTCATTCTGTCAGTTAATTGTCAAAAATGTTATTCCACCATGTACATATATCTTTTGTAGCAAATTATTTAATTATTTATTTGAATATTTTTCCTTCACGTAGAAACACGTAAATCGTAAAACATTCTAAAATCAAATCTATTATTGTATCTTTATTGTATTTTCTAGGAAGTGATAATAAAAAATAACTTTAAGGATAGAGCACTTGTCATATTCTAAGGACCACGAGTGAGAATTAGTGCAAAAAACGATCAGACCTCTTATTTGCACCGATTAATAAAATAACCATCAATCGGATAGAAGAAATGAACTCTGGTATACAGTATACATGCAGACCTATTGCAAGAACTGCTTGAAAGCGATGACAATGAAACAGGTTTAAACTGTTTTGGAATAACAGATATTTACATACGAAGTGTGGCATATAAAATCAAAGGTATTTAAGCTGCACGCCTCCAGAGGAGCAAAAAATTTCGATAAAATCAAACCTGAAAAAAATGTACTGACATTTTATAAAAAGTATAAAGATTCAAAATTCTAGTAATAATTTACATGAAATGTGCGATTAATGACCGTTTTTTTTCAGTATTTATAACTATATTTCTACTGCGTTACTAACACAGTAAGGGCTATTTTTGCACATTTTGACGGATTGTAAGTGCCATTGATAATGTAAAATTTGCATTCTTTTGGTAACTTCACAATATTATACTGTTAAATACATTTTCAAATTTTCATGAAAATTAGCATGAATCTGGAGGCGGGCTGCTTTAATATATTTATATTTGTCATCTAACTGACTTAAATCCTATATACAATTATAATTGAGCCATGTCACGACAAAACCAACATAGTGGGTTTGCGACCAGCATGGATCCAGACCAGCCTGCGCATCATCGCAGTCTGATCAGGATCCATGATGTTCGCTTACCAACTCTATTACAAGTAGAGGAACTGATAGCGAACAGCATGGATCCTGATCAGACTGTGCGGACGCGCAGGCTGGTCTGGATCCACGCTGGTCGCAAACCCACTATGTTGGTTTTGTCGTGACACGGCTCATATCATTTATCGCTCAATTTGAATATATACTAAAATGCTGATAATGAACTCCCCGTCTGAAATGGCAGCAATTTTTATTTTGTTGGTTCGATAAAATCTGTTTATTGGTTCAAGATATAAAGATTTTATTGCAATCTTTATTAATTGTAAGAATTTGACCTTACTTATTTTGTTGATCTGACAGTTAAACAGTTCTACGAAATGTATACATGCAATGGCAGTTTAATCAGTAAATGCATTTACTTTACAAAAAAGTGTTAGCTCTATATATACTCGTATAAACTGATGGTATCTGATAACTGGTTTCATAGTTATAGAAAGAGCATCGAAACAAAAGGATATTTGATTTGTACAGGAGGCGTCGCCCCCTAGTATGAATCAGATTGCCAAGTGTCTTGATATTCTTTCTCTTTTGTATCATAGGCAAAAATGGAAGCACGTCACATTTTGTCACAATATGAAACCTCAGCAAAAAAGTAACCAATAAAAGAGCATCTAAATATGATGTTTCTATCGCTGTCCCCTTTTCACAACAAGTACACCCCAGTCAATGGACACGCTCTGGATAACTTATACCTGCATTCCAGTTTACGCCCTGTGCATGTATATGTATACAATTTAACTCTGACACATTATCAACAGAAATGTCCCAATACTATTATGATACAACTAACAGGTACACCACACTTCGATCCATTTAATGTCATCAATACTTAAGATGAAGTGATAGATAATTATATTCTCAATAAATTTTCTTATTGATCACTAAGTGATTTATTTGAATGTAAGGATAATAACAAAGATACATTTCGCACATATTAATGTTGTTACTTTTGAATCAATGTACAAAATTGGTCATTGGCATAATATCATGCTTGAATTCCATTAATTAAACAGATAATTTTTGTTAAATTTACATTACGTACACTCGATCGTCGTAACAAATTTCATAATTCATAGCCATTACTTCACTGGGCCAACAGTGACTTTCTTCGGGAAGTTCTTTTTTAGATTTTAAATCTTTTATCAGTATATGAAATATTTCTATTTAAAAAGAACTTAATATTAAGTAAATAATGGATACATATTTGAAATTGATTTCGAAGTGTGTGTGCTTTATTCAAAATCATCTCACTTATTTTGATACATTAGGTAAAATGGTTCAAGTGGAAATGCTGCATCAACATCAACACATTATTGCTATTTTAAAAGAGCAGAATGATGAATTTATGCAGCGTCTAGATAAGCTTAGTGCAAGCCTCGACTCTCTCCTGCCACTTGTTACTGAACTTGGAGATCCTCAAACACACATGAAAAATCTTACAAATTTGCACAAACATTCCACAACAATCTGGAAAATTCTTGGTAAATTACCAGGCGACCAACTTCCTAAATGGTATAAACCAGATTTCAGCCAGGAAGAAATACGACAAATATGTCTATACTAAAAAAACAAGATTACAACGAGTGTTTCCACATCTGTCTATGTCATAACAAAAGAAACCAGCAAGTTAACTGTGTTAGTCATTGTAGAAACATAACAGGAATATTTAGGTAATTCAATAAGTTTAAAGTGAGTTGCCTTTATGACATATACCATCATTTTTCTACTTTGTTAATAAATTGCAATCACATGACTTGTAAATTTGTCATTTCAGTTCCGGTTAATTTTAGTTACGACAAAAAATAGTTTAAAATCTTACACATTTGCACAAACATTCTTGAATGTCAACAAAAGTTTGGAAAATTCTTTGTAAATTTACAGATGACCAACTTCCTGAAAGTATAACCAAGACTTAAGCCTGGAAAAAATACGACAAAAATGTCTTTACCCAAAAGCTAGATTAGAATGATCAGTCATTGGAACTTAATATATCGAGTGTTGATATCAACTTAATGTGATTTTCTGGTGGCGGTACCAGGAACATTGTGTTTATATATTACCCCTCATCTCCACATATCACGAAAGTAAGCCACATTGAATTCGCCGAATAAACTTTCTTTACCATTCAATTGATTCTACTTGATTCTCGTTTTATCATGCTTTTACCTTGAAAGTGCATCGTATGCATTGTCAAAATGAACTAGAAGCTTACATAGTATTTAGCTGTAGAAGTTGTAATGTATGTGTTTGTATTACCCTAAGTTTCATTATACTGTTTTGAAAAGGCTGGTCCTTGATGTCAATATCAAATGTAAAAGCCAATTAACAGGAGACCCCCATCCCCCCAATGTTGATTTATACATCTGTAAATAATATAGACTAGAACTCGAGTCGGATGTGTCGCCTTGTGAACAATATGGTTTAAAAGAAATGACAAAGACAAAAATGAAATTTGAAAATCAACAAAGGGCAATAACTCATAAAATAAGAAATGCAGATCAGCAGTTTCTGTGCACTGCACTTCTTATCAATAAAATCTACCATCCTAATAAGTTTCAAGTCTAAAGCTTTTATAATTTATGAGAAATGGCCTGGACAAAATTAAAGTATGAAAATTAACAAAGGGCAATAACTCAAAAAATAAGAAATGCAGAGTACCAGTTCTTGGGCAGTGCACTTCGATTTAATGAGATCTATCACCGTATGAAGTTTCATGTCCATAGCTTTTATATTTTAGGAGAAAAGGCCTGGACAAAAATAAAGTATGAAAATTAACAAAGGGCAATAACTCAAAAAATAAGAAATGCAGAGTACCAGTTCTTGTGCACTGAACTTGTTCTTAATGAGAGCTATCACCCTATGAAGCTTCAAGTCCATAGCTTTAATACTTTAGGAGAAATGGCCTGGACAAAAATAAAGTAGGAAAATTAACAAAGGGCAATAACTCAAAAAATAAGAAATGCAGAGTACCGATTCTTGTGCACTGCACTTCTTCTTAATTAGATCTATAATCCTATGAAGTTTCAAGTCCATAGATTTTATACTTAAGGAGAAATGACCCTGAGAAAAATAAAGTATGAAAATAAACAAAGGACAATAACTAAAAAAATAAGAAGTACAGAGTACTAATTCTTGTACACTGCACTTCGGGTCATTATGAGAAGCATGCATACCAAGTTTGAAGTCAATCTGACTCATAATGACTGACTTATGCTCCGGACAAGCTTTCAGGGACGCCGACAACGACGCCGACAACGACACCGACAACGACGCCGACGACGACAACGACGCCACCGACAAAAGTAACCCTAATATGTCGCCTTTTTCAAGGCGACACAAAAAGTGAGTACTATATTAGTTACCTTTATTACATTGTATTATACACAGAAAGTCCGTAGAAGATCTGGATTAATTATTGAAAATTTGTTACATTTCATTAAATCATAAGAGCTTAAGTCAAGGATGTATCTTAAAAGTTTCCATATGTCCTGCCTTCTTGACTTATATTATTAATGCATATCTATGAATTAAAAAATAATGTCGATCTGAGCGGTGTTTATCGGCTATTTATCTCCGGTTTGGAGTTTTTATGCTAAGGAAATTAAGAATTGTATAGAAGGCCGTATTTCGATAAAAACAAGTCAAAATAAGGGAGCTCACTAGCGCTATTTTTGTCTATTTACATTCGGGGGGCAGTGGACCTAAAATGAACTATTTTGTAGTTTAGTGTGGCCAGACACACAATTCCAAATGTTTAAAAATCTGTTACAACGGTAGTAACACTAACATTATCATCATCATTATCATCATCATCATCATCATCATCATCATCATCATCATCAACAACAACATTAAAACAACAGTAGCAACAACAGCAGTAGTAGCAGCAAGAACAACAACAACCACAAAAAAATAAAAAAAAAAAAAAAAAAAAAAAACAAAAAAAAAAAAACAAAAAAAAAAAAAAAAAAAAAAAAAGAAAAAAAAACACAAACAAAAAACAGCCCCCAAAAAACCCAAACAAGCAAAGAAAATCTTACCAACTCAAAATACTACCTAAAAAGTTCGAATTAATCTGAAATAGTGAATAGGATAACAACAATCATTTTTTACTTAAACTTTAAAAAAAATAACAGGAAAATCTTCAATTGATCTAAAACATGTTATCACGTTTGCAAGATCATCTTAAATTTCAACATCGAAACGTACAAACTCTGTGTAAAACAAGTTCATTTGTACTGAAAAATGAAATAAGTTTTGTTGAGAGTTGAGAAATATGAAATAGACACTTTCATAAGCTGAACGATTTGATTGCACGTTTTCTAGAGATTTAAGCGATTTCAGGACATTTCGATTGTAATTCTTTAACAATATTAAAACTTCCGAAATAAATATTTCCACAGCATGACTCATTTTATATTTATTATTAGACTTTATCTGGGTAGATTGATTCCAAATACTTAAATCTAGTAATTTATAAGCATCAGATGAATGACAATGGTAACAGTTTTAAAGCTTGTCTTTATTTCTTTGTATTTTGTCCACGATATTGGAGTGAATTATTTTATAAAACACACTCATCATACGAAAGGAGTACAAAGTACACATTGTATAAATAGAAACTAGGACATAGATTTTTCGCCTCGTTTTGACTTCATTTTCGGAAAATGAGTGTAGTATTTTACAAAATTATCTATTTCTGTAAAAGTTCTGCACCACAATTAAAATTCTAGAGTATTTAATTTCGACTTTGCATCGAAAAATCATTATTTCAAGCCTCAGTCTCTGATTTCGATATGAATTTTCGAAATTAATTTAAACCGAAAGGAAAGTCATATTGATGTCGGCCTCGCTTTGAAATAAATATGCCATTGTAGCTTCTAAGGTTACCGCATTTTTGTACATCAATGGATATAGCTAATAAGTAATGAAATCATATCTAAAAAAAGGATTTTTTTAAATCAATTTAAGATTAGTAACAGTTGGATGAAGTCAGGTAAGTACCACAAATATTACTGTAGATCTTCTAAAAATGTTTTGGTTATCATCTTAAGTCATGAAAAGGGCGTCAAACATGGCGGTTTTCTGAGTCCTTCTGATATTGGACATGTTTTATAAAATGAAGATATAAATATGAATGTAAAATACATTTTTATTTTTAGAGAATCTAGAAAATATTTTAATATGTTCTTTCGAAATACAGAATACAAATGGTTTGATTATAAAATCATAAAGAAGGTGAAGGTCAATGAATAGATTTATTAAAACGTGTCATTTTGCTTTTCAAATTTGTTATTTTTCAAATTTAATAAAGAATATTGTAAATCATGATGGTCAGTATAATAAAAATAACATTTCTAAAGACTTTCCTATTTTATAAATTGTTTCTAGTATATATAATGAAATCAGCGATAAAACAAAACCGATTTTTATCGTTTAATCTTAACTGCACTTGATGTTTATGACAGAGCGCTTGCGTAAATGTTTTGGCTATTTCATATCTCCTGAGATATAATTTGGAAATTATTCCCCGAACGTTGTTTTATTCATTTGAAAGAATAATAAATTTCAATTGATTGATTTGATTAAGTATAGGAACGTTTTCACGTAATTAAATAACCACTGACATGCTAAAGCATGAAAATGATTTGTTTGGTTTCACGGCACAGAAAATATGCGCTGATCATTGATAACGTTTATGATGCATAGTTTACATAAACCTCGTAACATGCATTAAAGTATTTACCGAAAAAAATGCTTAACGTGTATAATGCATATCTGCTGTCTGTAGTTTGCAAATTTTATTTGATTTTTGAAAAAGAAAACCGGTATCGGACAATCATTTTGTGTCACCAGCTCAAGCATGAAATCATTGTGCAGTAAAATCCGTACTTAAAAGCAACATAACATTTTATTCTAGAGCAGTTTATTACGTTTACATACAACATTCACGTGCGTTGAATAACAGATACAATCTTTGTTATATAACTCTTTCGGAAGTCTATGACCAGAATATGGAAACAACATAATTCTACCGTTTGTAAATTTCATAAGAAATATTTCATTAGAAACATTTTACTCTTATAATAAACAAACACACAAACGCACGCGCACAATTGTACCACTCATACAAACACATTTTTAAAGCAGCACGCCTCAAGATTCATGCTAATTTCCATAAAAATTTTGAAAATGTATTTGAATGTATAATATTGTTAAATTACCAAAAGGAAGCCATTTACACGTTAACAATGGCACTTACAAGCCATGTTAATTAGCAAAATGTGGTCAAAATATGCATAAATAGCCCTTACTGCGTTAGTAACGCAGTAGAAATATAGTTATAAATACAAAAAAAATCAGTAATTAACCGAACATAACATGTATATATTACTTCAAACTTCAATCATTTAACGTTTCCTAAAATCGTAGTACATATTTTTCAAGTTTGATTTCATTGAAAATTTTTTACTCATCTGGAGGCATGCAGCTTTAACTATTTATATGTACACATACTTTTAACACATTATCTGAAACATATGGAACTGAGATTCAAGTAGATAGATGAAATTTATACATTTAAATTAACAGCACATTTTTGAATTCAGCCATATCACTAAATATCTACTTTAATATATGGTATCTTTGAAAGGCTGTGCTTGTATCCAAATTAATACGACTTTTATAGATAAAGCAAATATTGTGATTTCAAAACAAATGTTGGTCTTGTCTTTTTGTTGACCTTCTCTAACATCTTGTTTGCTCTTTTTGATAGACTAGAACAAAATTATATTTTATTAAACTGCAATGTACATACAATGAGTCATTTAGAGTAGACAAAGATAACAGATTAAGAACAGAAAATGTGATGATTTTATCATGATACCATATCCTTCCTTATAAATAAGCCTAAAATTAATTAACAGAGAATTGCATTCACATGTTTTGTGTAATTCAACATATTAACAGATTCATGCACGTTTGACACTTCTTCTTCTTTTCCTAATTAAAAGATGAAATTCATTTCAATGGTGTTTATAGATTGCATTAAAATAGGATTACATAGAGGATATTTGTTTGTTTTGCATGTAAGATTGAAATATAATTTCATTGAGTGAACACCAGATGCAATATTTTCAAGAGTGGCGTAGCCACGAGTGAAAATATAATAGCTGGTGTTCACGAATGAAATATATTTCAATCGTATATGTAAAACAAATATTTTTTTTTTATTTCTTGTTTTTTAAGTGATATGAAGTTTTTTTTATTTATATTTTGCCGCGTAACGTCGCGCATTCTCCTTTGTGACGTCATCACATCATGACGTCAACATGATCAATTTCAGAAATATAGTTCTTGTTAAAGTTCTCTTACTTTGTTACATTTTTAACATGATTTATAGGTGACATCGACTTTTCTCTTCCTAAAGAAGCAAAATTTACGTATGACGGCATTTTTTCTGCCTGTTATTCCATTTAGTTATGATATTCTTTTCATTCGCATTCAGATATAGTCCGGCTACAGTGAAAATTATATTTTATAAATTTCACTAGTGGTTTATCAGAATATAATCATCTGATATATTGCAATAAAACACTGGAAAGCATGAAATAAATTCTTATTTGCTTTACTTGATTATTTCACAGGAAGTTATTTAACTGTACAGAGATTCAGCTAACAGGTCAGCTTGTTTACGGATAGCAATGTCAAACAACGATGACGCCAGTGAATGTCAATCGTTGTCAACGGATGCTTTACCTATGGCGCCGAGACAGTTGCCGGTAGACAACAGTCAACCTATACCACCTAGAGCAAATGAAGAAAACCAAGATGAACAATCAAGTACAGAACATCTTCAACAGCCAACACAATCACCTTTCAATCTACCAAACCCTCCAACTGATTGGAATTTTAATATTTTCCTAAACAAAATAGCAGACAGTTTAACAATGGAAGATCTTGTGAATATGAAATGGTTCTTTGAAGGTAAATATCGCATTTCAAACAAAAAGAGACTAATTTAAATAAATATATCTCAATTTTTTTTTCAATGATTTTTTGTTGTTGTTTCCCTTTGCTTTTTATTCACTAATCAGTCATATGTTATATCGCAAATAAACTACACCGTTCTTTAAAATAGAGAATAAATTGTCATCTTAAATTCTAATTATTTTGTTTTGAATGCTATTTTGATTTTTTTATAATCGTCTTTAATATTTTTTGTAATAATAATAAAAATGATAATAATTTGCTACATAATTTGTTAGTTTTTAAGATACACTGAAGCTTAAATAATAATAGTAATAATAATAATAATAATAATAATAATAATAATAATAATAATAATTATGATAATTATAATTAAATTTAATGATTGTGTGATAATGATGGTTTTGTTAATGGTAGATGATGATGATGATAACGACGATAAATAACTTTTTCCACATGTTTATTTCCTATTAGGGTTAGATCTTACAATTTCTTATTGTGTAATTCGTTATTATTGCTTCATTATTAACATTTATTTTAGTTTATTCCGTACATGATAATACAAAAACATGAAGAAAATCTCATAATAGGAGTATATTAATATTCATATAAAATTTACAGGCGAAGGCGGTCTAGGGAAAGGGGTTCTTGAAAAAATTAAGACGCCACAAGATCTATTTCGAATAATGAGAACAAGAGGTTACATTACTCGAGATAACTTGTTATACCTTCAAGGAATTTTGTACCAGGCAGGAAGAAAAGACCTAATACAGGACGGGGTCGAATATGCAAAATCTTTGGGCAATGTAGTGCATTTCTATGCTCCAACATATTTACCAGGTAAGACAATAACTTACTGATAGAAGTTATGCAATAGGTACACAGTACTTCTATCACTTAAATAATTATGATTTGTTTTAAGACAAAACATATTGAGACAATATTATATTCCATTAAATATATAACTTCTATTTCAGGTTATTTGTCTTTACTAATTGTAAAAAGCCTTGACACATCAATTTAACCTACTGAAACTTAGAATGTGAGATTGCTTAACTGTACAAGCAACATAATTGTCATTCAAAAGTTTATGTGTTTTTCTTGAAGCTACTAGTTAACCAGAAACAGTCACATTTTTATATTTAAACTCTGTACAATAATTATGTATGCTTTATTTTAGAAAATGGTTACAAATATGTAAAATTTCATGTTGATGGTAAAGATTTCACAAATTACTCACGGAATGATGTAGAAAATCTTCGACGTATTGTGTCTGCTATCTTGTTTGTGCCACAACATTTTGTGTTTATTTGTGGCATTGAACCGTCTTCTAGTTTGGTCATTACGCTGATGATCCCAGATCTTTATGTGGAGATACTACAAGAAATGCTCGAGGATGGTGATGTTATGACAACTCTTCATGAAACTGGTGTCGATATAATTGATATAAATGGACAGACATCATACAACATCAAAAGTAAGTATTGTTGAAATGAGTTTTACCATATAATTAATATTGTAATGGAAATGTAATGCTTAATATTGGGTAGTCTAAAAATAGGATCAAGTGTTTTCTATTAGTTTAATTCTCATTTGAATATTTCATGACAGATGAACATAACTTGCAATTACTACTACAACCCATTACCAGATTTAATCAAACCGAACCTGCAGCATCATTAAGTTTACCTTATAAATATACAGAGAAAACATCCACGAAATATTATAATATTTATTATTGTAGCACATGAAACATGATTTGAATATATACTGTTATACATACGTATATACAAATATTTATGTAATGAAATATGTTTTAAATATGTCCTTATTATATATTAAGCTTAAATATTGTACTTATGCGAATGTTGATTTTACATGTTCTTCTATAATTTAGTTTTCCTTAAAACATCTATATGTGCTATCAATGGGTATAATATGTATGTTATACATTTTGTATTGATATTTTTATTTCATAATAACATTGCTATCATTGTTTCGAAAGAATTCTTGTGTCATGAATGTAACACCATTTTATCTTGAATTGATACTGATGTCTTTCCAGAAGGTACTGGTGATACTAATACTGTTGAAAGGGAACAAGAAATAAAACTAGTCAATGTTTATGAGCAACTTAAACAAACCCAACAAAGCCTGGATACTAGCGAAATGACATGCATTGACCTATATAGACAAATTGACGACATGAAACACACAATAGACGAGACAAAAGAAAACCTAAGCAATATGGAAAACAAGGTGTATGCGTTAAAGAAAGTATTATCAATGTCAAAGGATGCAACGGAACCTGCATCTCTCAAAGAACTAAGTAGCCTGGAAGATTTTACCGAGTGTCTTGACCACTTCAGAGCACAAAATATTGACAAAAAAGTAGTACGGCGTATGTTAGATGCCACGGTCAATATTGTTTCAAACAGGGTACGAGAAAGTCATAGAATGCAAGAAGAAAACCTGATACTTGGTTTACAAGACATGCAATCACAGCTTATGCCATTGAAATTTGAGGTTGAGAAATTCAAATTCCTTGACAGTTTAAGCAAGATTGATAAATCTGTTTTAGGAAGAATGCAGGAACTCTTGAAACCATTCATAGGTACTTTTTTGCAAATTTTTTACGAATGTATATGTATCTATATAACGTTAATTATGTATTCATTACTTATACAATATTAATTGAACTTATGATACAATATATATGTTTGGAAACGATCATTTACTGAACATCATGTACTACTGATACATTATTTCTTTGTTTCTAAAAATATATTTTACTTACTTCTTTTTTTCATGCAAATTGGTTAATAAAAAGCGATTATTATTACGTTTTAATTGTAATCCTCCCTGTAAACAATATCAGTCAAATGATAAATATTTCATTTGTGTTATACTATATTTCTTTATCAAGGTCAAAGAGAGGTTTCATTGACACCGCTTGGAATGCAAATGCTGGCAAATATAAGCAGTAAACTACACAAAAAAGAAAAGGAAAAGTTAAAGAAGAAATATCAATGGACTCCAAACGGTGAAATCGAACGATTTATGGAACAAGATCAGAACCTTTTACTCGCTGGAATATTTTACAAAGAAATAACAACTAAGCAAACTGATATCAATTTTGGTAAGCAATTAATTCATCATGTAAATGCTTAAAAGCCTGATTATAATGATGATTGTAATCTTACTTAAATTGATATGTGATACTTAAAATCATCAAAATGTTAATAACGTTAAGCGACCAAGGATCATTCAATTGTACAATTAACATACAGAATAAATGATTATATATCTGTTTTGCTGAAATACTGATACAATATTCGCTTTTTGATAACTCTGACGCTTTTCGAATTTTCACGTTGTATATTAAGATATCTAAAATTTATTTTGTATGAGGACGTCTTTCAATAGTTTTTATTGTAGATTATCAAAGTGAATATTTTTAAATAGTAAAGCAAAAATTCTTTAAATTTAAACAGTCACGTAATTTAAATTCTTCTAAAAATATATTGTGAATTAAATATGAAAAGCAAGGTTTATGATACTAAAAATGATAATGATCAAATATACAGATACCAATTACAGTTTTGAGTACTACGAGACATACACACTTATTCGCAAGAAATTTGCAATTTATTTAAATGTGGGAAGAAAAATGAAAACGTAGACAAATATTACAAATATTCAGCGATATTTTAAATTATTCTATTTTACAATTTACGTTTTGTTTTGCCAATATCTTCACACAAGATTGTAGAGCACGATTGTTTAACATTAACGGAAGTATGGATGCGTTAGAACGTGAATACATATGTCGCAGCTCAAACGAATCAAAGGGCTCGTTGACTCTGCTGTGAGTTCTGGACCTGGGGTAGAGGAGTCTGTAAAAAGACAAGTATGCGCTACTCAAAATATTTATTCTTCCCTACAACAAAACCGTGGCCTGTGCCAACAATTTCTCAATTCAAGTGCCCATGCGTTGTGCAGATTAGCGGGGAAATTGAAATATTAGCGAGAAAAGTTAATCGAAGATATTGAAAAGGTTATAAAGTACTATTATGTATAGGTAACGGCTATTGGATATGAGCTATGAGTATATGAATTAAAGAAATAACTACGGAAAACGATAATGGACACTAACATTAACATATAAAAATACAGAGACAGGCATGGACACGAACAGATTAAAATATACAGCACTTGGCAATACGGACAATGTATACTTGACCCTGTGACATCATCCCCCTCAATAGGAAATTTCGTTCCGACATTTAAATAAAGGTCAACCCATATACACTTACCTTAGAATAGATAAACCGCAAGGTTCTTCTCTATACTGTCCAATAATACAATACTCTATACTCCTGTACATATCGTACAAATTTATCCAAAGACTACTCAATAACTACTGTAGCTAACAATAATCTACACTACAGCTCAAAAATCTGTCAAAGTTTCATGTAAAGTCACAGAGACAGGACACCATATACTTGAAATATGATAAACAAGATCAACAAGGAAAGGCGGCGTTCAATGAACGCAGCCCCCATATGACCCAGCAACAAGAACCAATGGCAAGGAGCCCAGGCGGACCCCAAACAAAAACAGGACAGGACAAAGACAGAGCACGGACAGGTTAATTATTAAATGATAAATAATTAGTAACTGATTAGGAATTCAAAGAAAATAATAATAGGCCCACAAAGGGGAAGGGGACAGGAGACCGGGGGAAGGGGGCGGGGGTAATCAAAGAAATAAAAACTAGAGGCAATGGGGAAGATACTTACCGTAGACGAGAAAACATCAAGGGACACAAACAAAAGTGTCACCAAAACAGTATGAAACAACATAGACATACATCTAAGGAACACAGTGGGGCGCCGCCTTGGAACTGTCAGCAGCATAATAATGACTGCTGGGGAGTTTAAACCGGTTAATGGTGCACCAAACCTCGCTCTTAGCCCCACCATGTTCCTATAAACGAGACAGTGTAAATAAAATGAATCCCCGCCAAGTGAAATTCTAACAGTTGTCATGGTTACAAAAGGTTAAATAAGTAAAACACTAAAATGATCATGTAGAAACATATAAAAGTAAACCCAATGACCATAACAAAAGTACTCAATGTCCTAAAGGAAGACAGAGCAACAAGAAAATCACCTACAAGGGCCCGACGAAGCAAGGCAGAAGACGAACATTAAGACAATTCAGTCCCAAAGGGCTTTACGAACTATCCATCATAGAGTCTCCCACTTGGTCCGTCAGATGCAATCAAAAGAGGAAAGCGTAGTGTCCAACTGTAAAAGGGTTGAACACTAAACATGCAGTATGTCTTAAAATAGTAGGGTCATAACCTCTTTTAATGAGCCTCAGGCCTATATGCCCACATAAAAATGTCAATATACAATAAAATCATTCAGAACACTTACATAAATGACTATTAAGCACTTATTTCAGTATTCATCTCACAGATGGCACTTATATCTGTGAGGATTCCCATAAAGCGCACACAACATCAGAATCACAATGTAAATTGAGTATATGCAGTAAAGCAAAAATAACATATGTTACAGATAAACCCCATAATATAACTTAGATAAATGAAAGTAAATTTGTGTTACGACATCACTGTCTCTTTCAAATACCTTAAAGCTTGCGATCATACTCAACAATATGAAACTTCTATGCTATGTCACCCAATAAGTTGATATTAACCAACTTGGCGGCGTTCTTTTTCTAGCAACACGGTCTGGGACAAAGGGTAAAGCACATGGATTAAGAGTGGACTTGCGTTTTTGAGGAATGATATATTCCTCAACAGATAATGGGGAAGTGGGAGGTGGGTTTTAGAATTTCCAGTTGTGTCTACACTGTGCACTGGTTTGGTACAAGAAAAAGAAGCGTCAGATTCAACTGACTTTTTGAGAGGAAGACCTGAGAAGGGTAAAAGGAGATTCCTATGTACAGTTCTGGGATTTCCTCTTCCATGCTCCTTCTTCACAAGGAAAACGGGCACATCAGGATTTGGTTGCTCCACCACAATATAAACATCTCTTCCCCATTTATCAGCAAGCTTGTACTTTCCCTTCAAACCAACGTTCCTCACCAGGACTCTGTCTCCTGATTCTAGTTTGGCCTCCCGTACTCGAATATCATAACGTTTCTTATGCCGTCTTGATTGTCGCAATGACTCTCTTGTGGCAACTTTGTAGGCAAAGTCCAGACGCTTTTGAAGGTCACGAACATAGTTAGAATGATCAGTAGACTTGGGTTGATCATCAGGCTGGATTCCCAGGAAGGCGTCGATGGCAAGACGTGGATGCCGTTCGAACATTAGAGAGTGGGGTGTAAGCCCCGTGCTTTCATGTCGGGTAGAATTATAGGCATACACTAATGCTGGAATATGTGCATTCCAGTTAGATTTCTGTAAATCTTCAAGGATACCTAACATGTTCAATAATGTCCGATTAAAGCGTTCTGGCATGCCATTGCCTTGGGGATGATATGGAGTGGTTCGGGATTTCTCACAATTGGCCAGCTTACACAGTTCCTTAATGACAACAGATTCAAAATTAAGGCCTTGATCACTGTGTAAGCGGCTAGGGAATCCGTAATGGCAAATAAACTGCTCAAATAAAATCTGAGCCGTTGTATGGGCTGTCTGGTTCTTAGTGGGGATAGCTTGAGCATAACGGGTAAAATGATCAGTGATAACCAATATATGCTCAAAGCCACCCACAGACATTTCCAAGGACAGATAATCCATACAAAATAGCTCAAGAGGAAACGTTGATTCCACAGAGACAAGAGATGCGGCCTTACCCACAGGGGTTTTACGTCGAATGCATCCGGCACATTCCCGAATACGCTTTTCAACATACGCGTCTAAACCGGGCCAGAAAAATCTGGACTTGATCAAAGATAAGGTCCGATCTCTTCCCTGGTGACCTGCCTCATCATGTTATCCTGAAAAAATAATATCATGAAAGACAATGGGTACAACCAATTGTACTACAGGATTACCGGACACATTACCTTTCCTGTACAAAATATCATCTTTGAGAAAGAGAGTACTCTATTCACGTAAATACTGTCTGACTGGATCTGTTTCAAGACAACTCTGGCGACTTGTAAGTTTGTGACCAGCTTTCGCAATACCAATAACTCTTGTAATTACACTATCTTTGGCTTGCTCGAGTTTCCAATCAACATCATTGAGACAAGATCCAAAATAGATAAAAACAGAATCCCTAAAGAAAGCCCAACACGGCAAAATTGAAAATGTTGTAGGCTCGGTTTGATTGAGCCTGTTCATGGACGGTACTGGAAAGTGCAAGTTACCGTCTACGCCCCCTAGCACCGGCTTAAGCAGAATTCAACATTTAAACATGAAATAGTAAAATTTTGAATTTAGAAACATCCGCAGATGTGTTCATACGGCGGTTATCATGGAACCTTCAATGTGACACTTCCGTGCCATTCCATGAAAAGCGGCGTATGGTCCCCAAGTAATAAAAAGCGTGTGCCCTAAGTCTTCACTCGAGGGAATAGCTTGGGCATTGTGAGACAAAGAAATACACTCAACTGCAGGGAGTTCTGGAACATCAGCAAAAGAAGCTTGAAACAAAGCTTTAAGAATTTCTGGGTAAAGAATTCTCGTTTCGTCACTATTCCTAACCTCAACACCTGGTAAACGAGAGAGAATGTCGGCATCTACATTAAGCTTTCCAGAACGATACTGAATAGAAAAGTGATAGGCAGAAAGTGAAACTAACCAGCGATGAGATTGGGCATCGAGCTTGGCTGATGTAAAAACAAACGTGAGAGGATTATTATCAGTGCGTACAAGAAACTGATTCACATACAAATATTCATGGAATTTGTCTACCACAGCCCATTTCAAGGAAAGAAATTCAAGCTTATGAGCTGGGTAGTTCCTCTCAGCCGGTCGTAAACCTCGACTGGCATAGGCATCAACTCTCTCAGTACCGTCAACTTTCTGATATAGAACAGCCCCTAGACCAAGACCACTTGCGTCAATATTCAAAATAAATGGTTTGGAGTAATCTGCATATGTCAGGATAGGTGTGGAAGTTAAACTTTTAATGAGAGACTTAAAAGCGT